TAAACTTAATAATTCTGAAATCCCTTTAAGAGTTTTAAAAGAAGAGTGACAAACATATCCATTTTTAGAGAATTAGGAAAGTTCTGTTTCTTTTAAGGCCCCAAATTCTTGTCAGAACTCATCAGTCATGCAAATATATTTAGAGGTCAATTTTGCCTTTACTTAATATAGGGATATCCCAATAGATCGTGGCTGGCTTTCCAAAAATCAATTTGTCTCTTTTCTTCTATTTTGTTTTTCCTGTACCTACTCACCAAAAATATTTGGTGCAGTGAAATTTATTGGTAGCTCTGATGTATGGAATTTGGAAAACATCTTCCCGTAGGAATAATGGCATGTGTGGTGACTGGATTGGGTTCAGTGGCTAACCACATGTTAACCACTAGAATGTGCTTAGCCCTCAACATGCAGTGATTAGAGCATGGCCCTGTTCTCCAGTGCCTTCAAGTCTGGTGTTTGACAGTGTGAGTCACACACAGCAGTAAAGTGTGTTTAAGACACATTGGGAATCACGGGTGGCTAGCGTGTTGTAGGATTTGAGCCWATGGACTTGGGAACCCGACCATCATGCCCTGTGTGTCACTCAGAGCTTCCCCGACCCCAGCCTCGCTCTCTCTAAGTCTAAAGGGCTGGCTTTGGCCAAGCCTAAGAGATGCTTAGGTTAGACCTGCCATTTACTTTGCATATGTCCATTTCAACAACTCCAAGTGGGTGAGTCTCTTTATGGGGCCCGACAATCCCTAGGGACTTGGTTACATCATCCACATAAGGAGGGATGCATGTGCCCCTCTCCACTGGTGTGGCTGTCCCTTCAACTGTGGTTGTGCCAGGAACATAAGCCCTTTCCTGCTTTGCCTGTTGGCTGATGGCCTCTCCACTAACCAGGAGCCTTTTAATAGCTACTGTCTTTGTCAAGAGCTCCAGTGAAGTTATTCCAATTGAAAGTCTCCCTCTTTGGGTGGGGAGTCCTTGGCAGGGCCTCCTGCCACATCAGGATTCTTAAAGGAAAACATTATTTCTCCTTTATGAAGCAGTTCGTCAGCATCTCCAGGCAGCCTTGTGAGAGTGTGGCCCAGAGAGCCTTGTCATTTTCCAAGGCCCTGCATAGACTGTGTTCTGCCCCTCGTGGGCCCAGGGATTCATTTGTCTTCCCAAAGTTTGTCAAGTGGATGCTTGCCATATTTTAGAATTTCCGAGGAATTCTTGCCAAGCAGCGTGAGACTGATAACACAATACCAAGGAGTTTAACTGGTTCTCACCATGAAAACATACCTCTAAAAAGATCAGAGGGAGATGTGAACTCCCCAGTGCTGCCTGCTACACTGCAGCTGAAAGGAACCAGGAAAATGGGAGTCAGTCCRCCCAAAACAGCCCCTTCAATTCAGCAGATGGATGAAACAGCAGAGCCAATTCYAGAACACAGGAGGAGAGCAAGAAAAACCATCCTCCAGGTCTGGGAGTTCACCATGATTTGGTCGGCACATTACATCACCAGGGTTTTGAAGATTGTCTGAGAATTTATCTTTTTTCAAGAATTCTTATGAGATGAAAAGAAGCTCTTGGAAGTGATCTAGGTAGGCTTTCTCAAACAGGGTTCCAAAGGATACTTGGTTCCTGCAATCACATTACAAGTCAAATTCAGGCCATTGGTGTATGGGTCATTATTCAGTTTTCAGAGTATTTGAAGGTGATGGGAATGTTACTTCTGAAGCTATTTGCTTTATCTTTCATCATGACATTACACTTGTATCTTCACCCCTGCGTTTGTTTCCAAGTACAATTAAGATCCTCACCAGAATGCAGACACTTTGCTCACAGCCAGTTGGTTTAAAAGTAATTGTATGTTAGCCAGGCCACGTGGCACACGCTTGTAATACCAGCAGCTTGGAAGACTAAYGCAGGAAGATCCAAAGTTTAAGGCCAGCCTCCGAAATTTAGCAAGGTCATGTCTCAAAATAAAAAAATTAGAAACCCAAACAAAAAATCAAAATATTTTTTTTAAATTGTGTTGTAGACATAACCCAGATACAACACGACAAAGAGAACAAGAAAAGTTTGGCACAAATACATGGATTTCTGCACACAATATTATTATCCTAATATTTATTCATAACTTAGAACTTTCCCCCTAACATCCATCCATGTTACTGATCCAAACCAGAAATTGTTTTTAACCACACATTTGATGTTATGAACTTTATCATTTAAGCAGAATCTCACAGTTTAGGACTTAAGTATAGTCTGTGGCTGCGAGGATCTATTTAACATCTCATGTAACATCCAAGCTCCAAGCTACATAAAAGTCAGCCACTTGCTTTTCAAGTCTTTGCTGTGTCTTGCACAACTGCGCAGTACGTTGGTTGGTGAATTTGCGAGACTGAAGGTGAAATGATTTATATGAATTGACCTTTATTTTATTTATTTATATGCAGTGCTAAGAATCAAACCCAGTGCCTCACACACGCTAGGCAARTGCTCTGCCACTGAGCTCCAACCCCAGGTGAAATGTCTGATGTCCGATTTTCCCCAGTGTGTGGATGGTGGCCAGTACAGTCCTTTTTTCTAATAGACAAGCAGGAGGAGGATGTTCCTTTAAAGACTTCTCCCTCCCCCCATGCATGAGGGTGGAGATAGGGAAGCCGGTATGGACTGTTCCTAGGAGAGATGCCTGTTTTTCAGGGACTATAATTTTTTGTCCACTCTCAGTACATGGAGGCTCAGGACATGGGCCCAATCCCTGCTCATACTCTGGTAGCAGCTGTCAGAAGTGTCCATGGCTTACCTTTCAGCACTGTTCTCCTGTGTGTCTGTCACCATTGGGTACCTGGTATGTGACATTTTTGTGCTTTGCACCTTGGGCTGACTCCCTGTGACTCTGTGCCATTTGACACCTGGGTCAGTAGTTAGAGCAGGCTGGCTGGCCATCTCGCTAACAGCCCTGTGGATTCCTGTGATGGGCTCAGGGTTCTCCTGAGACCTGCAGCAGCTCTGTGGGAGGGGAAAGTGGCCAGTGGGTGTTTTATGGTATCCTGTGTCTCTCCTGAGCTTTCCATTGTCCCACAGGATGGCCCTGGAAGGTCCTTGAGAGTTCAGTCATTTCTTGCACCATCAGTGCCAGTGTAGCCATTCAGACCAAAGCRCCAGCCCAGGAAGAGAGCGTACCTTCTAAATCAGAAAGCCATTTATTGTGGTAAATGGCTTCCCTTTGTCAATTTCCATAACTGAAGAGTCTGAGAAATAAGCTCTTAACAGTTAGAGGGCAAGGGAGCCTCAATTTGGCCAATTGTCCAGGGACTACTTCTCCACTTGGTGACTATATGGTTCTGTCCCTCCTTTTGCTATTGCACTGAGGGTGAGCATAGCCAAGAAAGGGTATGCAACTATATTTCTTATGCTCTCATTTAAAAAAAAATCAGATAAGAGGTTTGGAGGAATTTAGGACTTAAACCYAAAATTAGATTTGGGGATGATCTGTGGATGTTATTTGTCTCTCATGAACAGAGACACTAAACAATAGTTTATATACCTTCTATTCTTGCTTAGGAAGGTTTTTATCTTCAACAGAATGAAAGAGAGGATTTCCCTGTTGGTTTTTCTACAAAAGGACTTTTCTTAGAGACTGAAGCAGCTCTTTTCTTCTCAAACTGTATGTTCTAGTAAAAGAGCCAGGTCTAGGGTCAGATTGACCTGGTTTCAAATTCTAACTCTTTTGTATCTAGCTATGTGACATGGGACAAATTACTTAGCTTCTCTGTGGCTCAGTTTCCTTATCTCTGAAGTGCAGATCATGGTGATYCTCAGAGTTCTTGAAAGGATTCAAGTAGAAAATATTTATGAATGATTAACACAGGCCCCAGCTGATGGTAGGTACTTAATAGGGGTTAGGTACCTTCCGAGGAAATGGATGTAGAGGCCACTTTCCAGCCGTATTCCAGGTTACTTGACTTCTCAGTGTCTCTGTGTCATCACCTATAATTTGGGGATAATGATGGTCAGGATGTTAGTGGGTTGATGCAGCCAACGCTCAGAGAACACACAATTCCAAACAAGGGCAACACTGTTTTTGTTTTCTTTATCCTTTTAATTGTTCTGGGAAGTGTGTACTAAAGACACCTTTTCGGGGAGAGGAGATTTTGATTTGCCCGKAAGACTCACTGTCTCCTATGTATTTACTCAGCACAAGCATGCACGGAGTGCCAACCACACCAGATGCCGCTGGTCACTAAACACTGGGTGGTTTCTGACTCTGGGCTGGAGCCCACGGCCTGGAACAGGGAGGGCAGGAATAGTACAAGTGAGCCCAAGCCCTGAGGAGGGGTGGCTCTTGCTGGGATGGTGGTTTAGTTCAAGAAAAGTAAGATTCGATCACATTTTTCCTGCTTCAAAAGTGAGCAAATGAAATRAGAGTACTGATGAGTAACTCACCCCAAACTCCAAACCTCATTGAGAGTCCACGAAGGCAGAGGCAGGACCCTTTACCTTTGTGTCCCCGGGGCACTTACACAGAGCCAGAAATTTGCCTTGAGTCAATTTGAGGTGCAGTCACATCCTCCAGACCCCACACTGAGGGCGACTTCTCACGGCAGGCTGGGCTGAGCTTTAGTGCTGAGCCGGGCATTGTCATGAAATAGCCATCTAGGAAGGATTTGCTGATGGATTGGTCATCTCTAGTCAAACACACACACACACACACACACACACACATCTTCAATTGTTTTTCTAGTTAGAAAAGTCAAAAAATAAAATGGGTCCTAACTCTCTACTCAATTTTTATATATAGTATCTTTTTTTTTTTTTTTTTTTTTGATGCTGGGGGTCAAAGCCAGGGCTTTGTTTACGCTAAGCTCCTACATACTCTGCCTCTGAGCCCTCAAGGCAGTTTTCAAACTCATGGAGAGTTCAGTGTGAATAACATACAGGGGGAGAAGAGTCCTAATAAGCATCTCCAGTCCCAAACATTAAAATGATCAGGCCTGTGTCTCTTCTTTATCATCCCACAGCTCCTGAAGTTCTGGCCCAGAAACCTTACAGCAAAGCCGTTGACTGCTGGTCCATCGGAGTCATCGCCTACATCTTGTAAGTATTGATTGCTGTCCGGGCTTCTCTCCTCAGCTTTATTATTATTATTATTATTATTATTATTGTAAAATATACATATCACAGATTTACCATTGTGGCCACATGGAAGGGTACAGTGCACTGGCAGCAGGTGGATGGATTCTCAATGCCACTATTCATTTTCAAAACCTTTTTGTCATCCCACACTTAAAATTTTATATATTAAAAGTAATTCCAGAGCTGGGGATGTGGCTCAAGCGGTAATGTGCTCACCTGGCATGCGCGGGGCGCGCTGGGTTCAATCCTCAGCACCACATAAAATAAAATAAAGATGTTGTGTCCACC